CCTCCTACTATGGAGGCCCTTGTTGAGAAGAAGGTGCCGGTACTGCTCCGGTGCCCGGTGTGTTGGGAAGAGCGGGAGTCCGTGGAGCATTTGTTCGTCTATTGCCCAGTTGCTCGAGCCATGTGGGATTACTCTGGGTTGGAGTTTCTTGGAGAGGGGCTTCCACGGCAGACTTTTCCCCTTTTTCTCAAGCGGTTATTGGCCCTCATCCATCATCCGGCTCAGTTCATGGCTGTGATTGCTGTCCTCTGGCGGATTTGGAAGTCCCGGAATTGGGTTGTTTTTTAGGGAAAACAGTTTGCCTTCTTGGCCCTGGTTCGCCAGTTTCAGCAGCAAGTGGATGAATGGATGTGATTGCCGGGTGATCCTTCTCCTGGCGTGGTTGTGAGTGCCTTGCAGAGCCTACCGGCTCCCCATGCGGAGTCTGGGGTTGTTTGTAGGTGGGATGGGGCGACGAGAACGGGCTCACACTCTGCGGGGGGCATGGTGCTAAGCTCGGAAGGTGGGATCCTAAGGGCTAAAGGGGTTCAGTTCCCGATTATTGAAGATCCGGTGGTTGCTGAGGTCTTGGCGCTTCGGGAGGCTGTGCAGTGGTGTCTAGCTCAAGGGTATAGTGTGGTTCGGTTTGAGGGAGATGCTAAGGTGATTATCGATAAAACTCGGTGTCTGGAGGCAGAGGATAGTAGGATGGGGGCTGTTCTTAGTGAAGTGGTGAAATTATTTGTCCTCCATCCTGGGTTGAGTATTCGATTTGTAGGTCGGCGTAGTAATAGGATAGCCCATCTGGTGGCTAGGAAGGGCCTTTCGTTGTACCCGGCTGCTTGTCGTGTTTTTGATTTTCTGGCCTGGCTGAATTCCAGAATGTAACTATCTTCTTGTTTGATTAATATATATCTTTTGTAAAAAAAAAAAACCAACTTCGATAGATTGCTACTAGCTTTTTATCCGGCCCGTTGGCCGGAGAGAGTTATTATATAATTTATATGAATTAACTTATCTATATGTTTAAATCATTTTGAATCTTCTAAATATTTTGTGTTGATTCATAACAGAGTTTGTAGTATGTCTATATTGAAAATTTCCAATATATAGCACACTCACTTCTGATGCTTCGGTTTTCTAATCATAAATTTTGTTGCTGTCACGTCCCATTTGGAACTTATAACAAAATTTGTCAACCAAAACACTAATATTTAGCGTACGCCAACCTAAACCACACACACATATAATTCAAGCTAGCATGCGCCATGAGTACGCTATACTCTTGCGTTCACACTACCATACGACCATAGAGTTTTATTATTTAGACCCCGAATTAACCGGAGTTTTTTTAGGGCAAATGATGCTATACCCTAACCTCTAATAGGTGAACTCCAATCCCTAATTCTCTAACCTCTAATTTATGCACATACTTTGCCATACCTTTTTTTTAATCGTATCTTGAGTAAAATCAAAACTATAGTATACCTTGATATTATTTATATGTATGTGTGTGTGTATAGTAGATTACAAATTATCAAGATTCTTTGTCATACCTATCTTATCTCCCCTAATACTCATATTATAAGTGCTACTTGCCTATCTCCCACCCTCGGGATAGAGATCTCGCTTTTACCCCCATAACGCCAGACAACCATTGTGGTTGTCTATCGTTCGATATGTAATATATAAAGAGGAAAATCCTAAGATCCTGCTATTTATTTCTTATCCTCTCCCATCGCCCCTTTTATGGAGAATAAAAGGGTAGGAATGATAGGATCATAGCTCGCTATGGTTTTATTCTGTTCATCGTACAAAGGTTATGTTATTTTTATTTTTATTTTTTTGGCTTATTTTCATTCTTCTTTGGCACCTATGGTTGTGATCAGAGATATTTAGCCCCCGAAAGGGATTGAGATTTTAGGTCCTTTGGAAATCCAATACACATTCATAATCCTCGAGTTTGGACGAACTTTCGACCAATGGTGTAAATATTATGATTTTTTAGTGAAAAATTCTTAGTAAAGATACTTCATTATTGGATCAATTTATTCATTCATATTCAAACTTGACACACGCCGTAGCCCTCATGATGATCAAATTCTCTAATCTCGACTCATTTCCATTTTGGATGTTAGTTTTTTTTATCAAGATACTTAAATTTAATATATTATACAATATGTATCAATTGTTAATTTTTGAAGTTTAGACGAAACCTCCACCCGTGGTCATTGTTAATGTTGGCTTAGAATCTCAAACTAAGACTCTCACAGACACTATCGATGATTTTGGTCTTAATATGGTCGTTGAATGTGTAATTTTCAAAGATTTTATCACTTATGTATTAATAATAGATAAAGGGTGTCTACAATACACACATTTTTCAAGTGCATTTAAAATGTCTTATATTTGAACAATATCGGTGTATTTCATTTGATTATTTGCATTAAGTTATTATATTATACATCATATATCAATTCGTGTTTCTCGAGTTTGGACGAACTGGCAACCAATTTTGAGAGTTGAGATTATTGGATAAAGATACTTGATTGTTGGATAAATATTTTTATCCCAATTGACTATCTTACTAAAAATCGTCAACCTTTATTTGGTAAATGCCTAGGTTAGTAGTTGATGATACGTGATGTTTATCTTAGATTCTCAACAAAGATTCTCTAACCTCCACATATGTTATTTTTCAAAGAATCTTGTGTCTCATCCTAGGGTATGAAGTTAAAGTTTGTCAACAATCATACTTAAGTCATTTTGAAAATTTTGATTTTTAATCGTCGAGGATAACTCCAAGTCTAAAAGAAAATTTCTACGACTTCAAACCTCAATAGAGCTTGCTCAATCAACATGATATAGAACAAATATTATTAATGTGAACTTATGACACACTATAAAATTATTGCACATGCGATTCCTCTTCATTTGAGGAGTTTAAGGTATAACATGATCTGAATGAATAAGAAGTCATTTTAAAATAAATAACTGTAACTACTCGATCAAGATTATACTCTGGCATTTTGCTAAATAATACTTGTTTTTATTTTATAGACATATAATTTACGAATAATAGAGTGTTTCATTGCAACAAATATAAATTAATATAGTTTATTTTTCAAAGGTAATTGAATGTCAAATATTTATTTTCTCTCTTTTCATATATATTTTGTTTAATCGATAAAATATTGTTTTTTATGTGTATGTTTGTTTGATTTTTAGTAAAAATAAGTAGAAAATATACTTCATAAGGTTTAATCAAATATTTTTATTTAATCAAGTATGGTTTATGTCACTCTCTGTTTTTTATTTATATTTTATTTACTGGAAATTTTTGTTATTATTTATGTGTGTTTGGTTAAGTTTATCAACATGTAACTTATTGTTAAAGCAAAAAAAAAGTAATAAATGGATAAAAGAATTGGAAATATTAAAGAAGAGAGAGGTAGTTCCATAAATACACTAATAACTAATTTTTTTGTTTGTAAAAAAGTTGTCCAACTTGGCAAATTGTGGATCCTCCAAATACTTATGTGACAAGTCAGCAAGAGATTGTTTTTGAATTGCCATAATATATAACCAATTACCAAGCTTTAGAAGTAAAATGGACCACCGTTACTGGATGTGGATTGGGGTGAGGAAAACAAAGGATGCATTGCCGACACAATACTGTTTTCCCCTGATATTTATTTATCCCTCCCCGTATATCCATCTATCTTGTCCACCTCAACTTCGCCAAATGGCGTAACTACCAACAAGCCCAAAGCTACAAGCCTCGTAAACCAAACCAGCATGAGAATAGATAAATCCTTTTTTTTTATAACTAATAGTGAAATATGGTACGGTAATTTACGTATAAGTATTTTATTTGTTCTCTTAATTAATGGTATGTCTAATAGTAAGTTAACAGTCATAAAATATATAAGATTAATTATGTTGAAAATAATTAAATGTATACGTAATGCTCAAATAATCGATTTAATTGGATACAAATATTGAAAATGCGTCATACTATTTTATATGTGTTTAATAAGAGTCATCAATTAAAATAAAAATTTGAAACCGTTTCATAATAATATATTATGCGTATCTCTATATGTGTAACAAAATTTAAAATTTCCTTGTCATTTTTTTTTTGTTTGTTTTCATTTTCTGATTAGGTATAAAAAGAGGCCTAAACCACACCGCACTCACGCCAACAATAACGAAAGCCCAATGAGAGTTTAACAGGAAGCTCGCATTTTTTTTGCTGCCCCCCATCCTTTCTCTTTCCCACTTTTGACCCCTTCCTTCAAAAACCCCCTCCTTTTTCTTTTCTCTTTCTCTCTTCCAGAACCGTAATCTCAATTCCCAAATCTCCCCCAATTCAATCTCAATTGCCTGCTGCTCGCTCTTCTTGCAATCTAGCAATCGCCGCTTCGATTCAGGTAATTTATCAGCTTCCTTCATCGTCCGCTTCGCTTTTCTTTCGTTCCTGCGATCAATCGGTTTATTTGAACCGAACTGATTTCACCCGATAATTTAGTCTTTAATCCAATCTGAAGATGCTGCGTGGAGAGTTTTCCCTTCGATTTCGATTTAAGCTTGATTTCGTGGAGAATTTCGCCTGAAATTCCATGATCCGAGTTGTTGGTTGGCCGCCTGGTTTATTGCTTTTTTTGTTTAGGAGGTTTCTGGTTCTGTTTTGATTAGTTCTAGTTGATCGCGTGATATCCGATCATGGCAAGCTTGTTATTCGCCGTTTCTCTTAACTGCTTCTTATCTATTTGGTCCGTCGACGAGTTTGGTTGTAGTTGGTATTTTCATCAGAATCTGAATGAATTTTAGCTCGATTTTAAGCCGTAATGTGATGCTAATAGGTAGGCACAGTGTTTAATTGTTATCTGAGCGTTTGATTTGGTGATACAAACTTGGCCTTGCTGTGAGATGTTAGGTTCTCGTTTGCTTGTTTTATTTTTGTTCATTTTCTTACTGTTTTTGCTTCGGCTTGTGGGAAAAAAAGTTTGTCAGGTACCATGTCTTTTGCGAGGAACTACCGTTCACAAGGCGGAACAATGTTCGATGATCGTTCAACCACTTTTAGTAGGGGAAGTTATGATTGGAGCGCGTACTTGAGCGCTGGTTGGAATGATAATCATGATTATCGGCGGAGCTGTCAGGATTTCTATGATTTCTCTGGGAAACTGAGGAGCCATATTGCTGACAGTGGCAAGTACAATAACCCTCCTCCTAGTGGTGCACCGTCTTTGAAAAGGAGAAAGTTCAGCTCTAGTATGTGGGGAGAGGGTGATGGACATAATTATCTGCAGCTCAACACATTTGAGGACGGTGGCAGAGATTATCAGCACTCAAAATCATATGGAGATGCTGCTAGGTATCAAGTGCAGTTTAATAACACGCACGGAGATCATCAGAGGCAGTATGTGCAACCTAAGATCTACAGAGATGGTGGAAGATGCCTACCAAGGTCTAATAGCGTGTATCAAGCTTCTGCACCTTTGACTCAAAGAAATCCACTCCCTGCTCCTTTGAGGACAAACACCGAAGCATCTACATCTACTAGCTGTAAACGTGACCGCTCGAAATTAGAAGAAGAGGAACCACTCTTTTTGTCAAGGGATGAGATTGAACGGTGCTCTCCTTCAAGGAAAGATGGTATTGATGCTCAACATGAAGCGCATTTGCGCTACTCTTATTGCGCCTTCCTTCAGGACCTTGGCCTTCGACTTGATCTGTGAGTAGTTTTGTTTTGGTGGTTTCGCTTTTGGACTTATAAGTTCCAACTGTTTGAGAGTCTTGTAACTGATTGTGGCTATTATTACTGCAGGCCACAAACAACTACTGGGACCGCCATGGTGTTGTGTCACCGTTTTTTTATTCGCCGGTCACATGCTTGCCATGATAGATTTGTGAGTTGTTAACAATCTAACAGTGCAAGTGTTTTTATCTTAAATTTAATTTCTAATAGGTATTAGTTGTTCCGACTGTTTGCTGTTTCCCAATAATTTCTGAATTTTTCTTTCCAAGTTGAAAAAGTATGCCGAAAGTCCTTGGTAGGTTTATTAATTGTCTGTCTCGTTGCAGAGTCAGTTCGCCACTAGGTTATTCTTCTTCCATTCCCATTTTCGTCATGTTATTAGACTTCTGTAATTTTGTCTTGCCTCTTGTGGCATCAACTCATTCATTAAATGTAATGGAGATATTCATTCCGTTTCTGCAGTTAATTGCTACTGCTGCCCTTTTTCTTGCTGCAAAGTCTGAGGAGACAGCACGGCCATTGAATGATGTATTGAGATCATCCTGTGAGATTTTTCATAAGCAGGACATCAGTCTATTGTCATACGTACTGCCCATTGTGAGTATTGTACTGAACTTCTTATGTATCTTATTATCTTGGTAGATATACATACATTGTTTGAACTTTCGGTTTGTGTCAGATAATATACAGGAGAATCAATTTCTAGTTATCCATAATTGAATGGGTGAACTCACAATTGAATTTCTTGTCTGCAGGACTGGTTTGAACAGTACCGGGAGCGAGTGATGGATGCTGAGCAAATGATATTGACTACCCTCAATTTTGAACTAAATGTGCAGCATCCTTATGCTCCACTCACTTCTGTCCTTGACAAGTTAGGCCTGGCACAGACTCTTTTGGTCAATGTGGCCTTGAACTTGGTTAATGAAGGGTAAGTTGTTCCTTGTTCACTACAAGGCTAGAAATTTCAGCAGGTCACTTGTTATAACGGCTAATTTTGGTGAATACAATGGGCTTACACTTGTTGAGTGAACTTCCATACGATGTGGTCGTGCCCCTTCTGGAGGGAATTTGGTGTGCCTATTCCTTCCTTGTCTTTGTTGTTTGTGGACGATCTCAGACTAGTTCTGCAGGAGACATGATCTAGTGCATAGGAAGTTGTCATGCAGCTGATGGTCTGTCCTTGTATTTAGTAAAGCAGGTAAGCAATGGAAAATCAACTGATGAATTGTTGAGCTTTCATGGTTCATTTGTCATGGAGACAACTATATCGGTTTTCTCTTCTACATTCTAAGACAGCAGTCAAGGATCTTTTTAACTCTTTCAAGCAACAACTACTTTACCTAGTCATTCTGGTATCCAATATTGATATATTTTGGAATGGCATATAATTGCAGGGTCCACACAAGAGTAGCATGGTCGACTGTGTGATATTGTTAGCTGGCGGATTGATATGCCGTGCTTGGAAAGTTTTTGTTTTTTGACATCTGAAGTTGACCTGCCGTTGTGTTGTGGATCACATTACTGTGATTATCCTCTCATCAATTTGGCTATGTGCTATCAAAGATAGCCTCAGAACCTTCTGACCGTTTTACCTGACTATCCTCTGCCTCCTTTCCAGTTGCTGAAAAGTTTTAAGTTCAGAGACAAGGTGGCAGTCCAACTATTCATTCCCACTGTTTTTGGGACACCCAATTTTGGTAGGGAAGTGGGACCTGAATGAGTGGTGCACTTCTTCGTTCAGCACTTTCAGTTTTCATTTCTTCAATATTTTCTCCTCAACGATTCCTTTTTCCTGGTTTCCACCCATTTTACCTTTGGAGTATTTTTAAAATATTTATCCAATGTTTTGAGTATTTTCAAAATTTTATCCAATGTTTTGAGTTTTCAAATCTCTCTTAGTTTTTTTTCTTTCATTTTCAAGTAAGTCCAGATTAATAATATATATATTAAAACAAGACCATTTCACCATTAGAAGGTACGTTGCTTTTTTTGGTATTCTGAAGTTTAAAAAAGGGGTCATCCTGCTATAAGTGTTTGAATTCAGATATTGTTGAATGGTCTAGGAACTCAACTGGGCGGCTTGTTGTTTGGAAAGATGCATATAATCTTTCCTGGTTAGAACCCCAAAGCTGAGCCATCAGTAAGCTGCATCAGCATGCTTTGTAATATGGGGTTTAACTGACCTTTTTTTCCGTACATCTAAAAAAAGTATAGGATTCTCTCTTCTGTTGTCAGAGAGCGAACTGCTGTCCTACCCAAGTTTGTGATATAGATGTCATTGTCGTTTTCATTTGGGATGTAAGTATCTAGACATCTGCCCCAGAGGTTAGCCCATTGGGCTAGGTGCTCTAAGGTCAGAGACCTGATACTAGTTTTGGTTGACAATGGGCTACGTAAGTTGTCAAAACACAGGCATAGTACAGTCATTGTGGTTTAGGTCTGTATATTTGCCTGTAGGTGCTCATTAGCCAATTATGTCTTGATTATCAATCAGCTGAGCTGACAAGAATATTGATAGTATTTGATACTATTTGAAGATGTGTCAATTTGCTTTACTTGCATCAGGATTTTAGTAAAAAAGAATATATAACAAATATTTCTATGTACTAATACTGCTATTTTCTCGTATGTTAAGCTTACAGATTCAATATGTTTTATGAATGACTAATTAATGCAACAAGGTGCAATATCAATTGTATACTGCCCCTTCTTTTGTTCTGGTGGATTACTGGCATGGTGGTATAGTGCATGAACCTTTCACATTCGAGATCAAGTTGTCGAGGAGACAGATGTGGATATTGCCTCTAAGAAGCTTACTGTGTGCAATAGGCTCGTAGTGTATTGGTTCTCTCTTTAATCAAATCATGAATGTATCCGGAGTTAAAAAAGCCAGTGCAGCAGAATTGGCCCCCTGGAAAGCATGTGTATCTAGTTGAGTAGAACATATGTCCTATAGTTATGCTATCCTATCAACAACCTTACAGAGATTCTTTGCAAATAATTCTACTGCCAGGATTGCTGCTTTTCTGTTTGGTAAGAAGAATTGACTTGCATTATACTGTTCCCCAAAATTCATTGTCAGCATGCAATGTGTGATTTTTATGTCAACTGTTTCTGTTTGCTGATATTGAAGTTGCTAAAAAATGCACAAAGTGAGTTATAGCTTGTGAAGAAAGGAACTATCGTGAACAATGCTAGTTTTAGGAGCTTGGTAAAGCTAATAAGAGTTATCTTTGCCTCTTTTTCTTGCAGGCTTAAGAGCTCATTGTGGCTTCAGTTCAAGCCACATCAGATTGCTGGTGGTGCTGCTTACCTTGCTGCCAAGTTTCTAAACATGGACCTCCCTTCTTATCAGAACGTCTGGCAGGAGTTTCATACACCACCCACCGTTCTTCAAGGTCTTGTTCCATGCTCAAAATTTAATGTTTATACCCGTCTTTGAGGTCTCTATGTTGTTCAGTGCACCTATAACTGAACATTTTATCATTTGATGCAGATGTGGCACAACAACTGATGGAGCTCTTTTAGAATTGCAGCAGAGTTGCTACCATTATTTTTCATCTGAGGGCAAGACCATAGACTCTGTGGGTATACTGGCTTGAGTGAGTTCCCATATACGTGTTAGGCTTTCTCGGTGGAAGCAATCTCTCTCAGAAAGACCACGGTGCTGTTTAAAAGATAAGGGAGCCAATTCTCTGGCTCCCTGTTTGCTTGGGTTTGCCCCTTCAGTTTACACGGTAAAAAAGATTTGAATCCCTTTAATCTCATGGCAAGATGCTAGAGTAGCATTTGTCGTTTATACATTAGGATCCGATGTTTAGCAGCCAGACATATATTAGAATGGGGCTTATTGTGGGATCGGAGTTCAGTACAACTTGTGCAACTGGCAATGCTTGTAGAAAAGCCTGAAAGTCTTGCGGTTTGTTGAAGAAAATGCAATGGTGATTGACCGGAGGATTGAATTGATTTTGGACAGTCTTGTGTGAAATGATAATCTTTTTGTGTGTTTGATTCCTGAAAATCACTCTAGCTCTGTCGAACTCTTCGAAAGTCGACCATGGTGAGTGATGACTTATTCGAATTCTAGCATGGTGTGATTGCATAGACTAGGTCGTGTTGGCAGAGCTGCAACAATAAGTATATGCATATACTGTATACCAGGGTCCTGAAGATCATCGGCCTTGTCAAATAGATCTTCCGAGGTGGAGTTGTTACATTGTTGTGCTGGCCATTTTCTGTCACTTATATTTCCAGAAAAGAATGAGTGAGGTAAATCTGGGCACTGCAGTTTCACTCACAAGTATCTAGGTTTCAGAGAATGGAACGGATTTTGTCGGAACTTAATCGACTAGAGTGTGAAAGCTTTTCAACTGCAGGTTATGCAGACTTCTCAAAGTGATTGCCTCATCTTTTACTTGTTTACGTAATGGATTGCTTGAAGCTCACTTTGATTTGTGGTTGCAACTTGATTTTGTGAAAGTGAGCTTGCTTTCGGTTGGGTTAGAAGTGCGATGAACAACATGTGTTGGATATTCTCGCATTTTATTGTGCCTGATCGAATCTCAGGGAAGTCTTGAGTTCTTGTGATCTCAAGCATTTTGATTAAACATTCTGCTGCAACATCAGATTCAGTGCATAATTGTGGAGTTAGTAATGGTGGTTATTTTCTGGCTAATGCTTGAAAGCTTATATAAGTTTTTTTATATCAGTGTTCTCGATGCGAGATTCTTTTTTGCACATATCTACCATGGAGGATCTAGAAATCACGAAACAAGGTGGTCTTTGAGTTTACTTCACATGTCTATTCCTTAATTGCCGAGTTCTCCAATCAAGTTCATGAATTCTGTCCCTACCTTGTTTTGACATTATTTGAGGGGAAAACCATGTCAATGAGTGTAAAAGTAATTAATAGCATGAAAACGCTCCCATATCTAGACACAAAAGGGCTAAATTGCAAGTTTGATCACTTGAATTGCTATAAAATTTCACGTTTGGTCACTCGAAATTTAGTTTCTTCCATTCGTAGTCACTTAAATTAGTTGAACAGTCCAAGTTCGGTCACTCTCCGTTAACCTCCGTCGGACTCTATTAGTGCCGTCAGTTAACTGCTGATGTGGCTAACAGAGATGCCTAGTCACCCAATTTTAACCCAAGAAAAAAATAAAAATTGACCCGCCACGTCAGAAAAACATGTCATCTCATATAAACACAACCCAACTCACCTAACCTAAAAAAACCATTAACCCACCCAGAAATCGAACCCGTGACCCATCCACCCTTCTTCTTCTTCTTCTATACCCTGCTTCCGCTGCCGCCGGGGGGATTTCCCCTCGATCTCCCTGCTGCAGCCCCACCGCCGGATCCAGATGTCCGGGTCGAAGTCGAAGGCGTCGCAGGTCGCGAAGGCGAACTCGCCGTACTTGAGGATCTCGCAGCAGAGGGAGGACAAAGGACTCGGTCCTTTTAATTCATCAAGAATTCCCCCCGTAGCCAACTTCTTCTCGTGATTAGGCTCGAGCCCAAATAATTAAGCTTTCCCCAGTAGAATCCAAGTCCCAATCTCACAAACGTTCATATGCTCCTCTTTCTCGTGGGCTAAAGAAAGAAATGTCAAGTCGATTGGGTCGAGGAGGCCGTCCCAATCGTTGATTCCGTGGAGCTCGCGCCATCGCCCGGAGATGTCCCGCTTGGGGGACAGTGTGGGAGTTATGTGGTCGCCCCAATCGATGAAATCGGAGGCCGTGTAGGGAACCTCGAGGAGTAGTGCCAGTGATTTGTGCGGGCGGGTGCTGTTCCTCTTAGCGGCGACGGTTTGGGGGTTATTGGATCCGGCGGCGAGGCTGCAGCAGGGAGATCGAGGGGAAATCCCCCGACGGCGGCGGAAGCAGGGTATAGAGGAAGAAGGAGGGTGGATGGGTCACAGGTTTGATTTCTAGGTGGGTTAATGGTTTTTTTAGGTTGGGTGGGTTGGGTTGTGTTTGTATGAGGTGGCACGTTTTTCTGATGTGGCGGGTCAATTTTTGTTTTTTATTGGGTTAAAATTGGGTGAATAGGCATCTCTGTTAGCCACGTCAGCAGTTAACTGACGACACTAACGGAGAGTGACCGAACTTGGACTGTTCAATTAATTTAAGTGACTACAAATGGAATAAACGAATTCGAGTGACCAAACGTGAAATTTTGTAGCAATTCGAGTGACCAAACTTGCAATTTAGCCCAAAAACATGGATATGATTCGTTGGTCAAGAATCCAGATCGAGTGCATTTGAGATCACATATTCACAATTTGTTTCTTTATTTTCCAAAAAAGGTTAAGCAAAGAGTTTCGGGTCGCAAATCTTTCTCATGATTGTTTCTCTTTCTTTTAATAATCTTTAATGCCCGTCCGATGATTTGCATTATTGCATCCCATTTATTTCCAGTTTGTTTCCCACCTTGCTTGCATAGTAAATGAAAAACAAAACAAGGATTCATTCATTGCACTCCCTTTTTGGTACGGATTGATTATCAAAGTTGGCAACCCGCGGGCTGAGTCGAACCATGTCGAGGTAGTGGGTCAAGGGTTAATGGATCATCCAGTTTAGCTTGGAAATATGGAAAGAGTTATTATATTGTACTTATCATGATAAAATATATCAAATCTCATCTAAGATATGAGTCCTAACATATAGTATTTCACCAAATAACATGGCGTACTTAAATCTAACATATAGTGAAAATTCACACACACTCATATAACATATATATTCAAATGATCAACTTAAGATTCCAAAGATTGAGTTAGGTGAAAAGAAAAATCGGAAAATAGCCGCATTTCACAAACCAAAGAAAAAAAGGGCACAATTTGACCTCCAACCCGGTACCTTGTAGGGGTCGACCCGACGGGTGCGTGAGGCTCGTTTTTCTCATCGGCCAGAGTCAAAGTGGGACGACCCGCGGGTTGACAACCTTGTTGATTATCCTCTAATTTAATTTAGATTTGGTACTCAAATCTCAAGAATTATGAACTTGGTATAAATTTATTGTTCATAGAGGTGTACAAATTCATGGACTCCATTTAGTAGCAAATCCTACATTTCATTTGAGATTTTGGAAGGCAAAATTTTTAGACTTCATGTACAAAATAAAAACATTTTAAATTCATTCTAAAAACTCAACTAAACATACCATCCAAATCCACAATTCAACAAATTTATCATAAATTCTGAAATTTTGAAAACTCAAAATTCTCATTTTTAAATACAACAAGCAATCTATCCGTATCTAACCATTTGTCCATCTTAAAATTCCGGAGATGTAGACATAAATAAACCTGCATTAAACGTGCATAGTAAAAGAGCTAATTCTATTACCATCTTCCTCTTTTTTACCTTAAAAGTTACAGAAAAAGAGAATATTTGCTAAAACGGCCGAAATTGTTTTCCTCCTAAAACAACTTTGCCGTCCACCAAAAAGGAATTAAAAAGTCTAGTATCGGTTAACTTAATTGAAGAATGAAGAGAGAATATACCGCACATTATTATTATTATTATTATTATTATTATTATTATTAGTATATATAGTTAAGAATGAATGACGTAGCAACATATGCGCATACGCCAGACTGCTTCGGCCGTTGAAGCAACAAAGCTGAGCAGTCAAAGGATAACATAAAAAAATACCATTTCTTGTCGTCAAATGATCGAGAGCACCCCGTCGCCGGCTCCGGGGCGGACCATCAGTGTTTTTCTTTCAAAACCTAAATGTTAAAATCGGGCAATTCCCACCGTTTTTATTTTCGAAGAAGGAGAGTAAAAAAAAGGAGAGACTACTCCTCTTATTTAGGGTCGTCCAATGAATCATGTAGGCTTTGTTCCAAAATTGTAATATAGTCCAATTTTTTTCTACTTATAATAACTAACATACCTAAATTTATCACCATACTCATAATCAATTAATCATACACTACAAGTTTAATCTGTAATATACGATTAAATTAACTAACAAACATAAAATGGAGGCCCACTAATATTCATAGGCCCTTTGCCGGGAGGGGTTACGGTGATTAAGGGTAAATTGGGTAGTTAATTTTTTAATAAATGATATTTTAGGTATGATAAATAAATTGTATTAATTAATTTTTTTAATAAATGACATTTTAGGTAGTTACAAGAATATATTAAATACAATTTTCTCTTTTTCTCTCACTTCCATAATTTTCACCCAGATCCCCTTTCCTTATTTTCTCAATCTTTCTGCAAAAGAAAAAAAACACGGAATCACTACCAATCCATTAGACAACCACTACCACTTTGAAAAATATCAATACCATTGCAAAAATAAATTTATACCATTACAAAAAAACTACCAATATAAACAATCTACCAATATAAATATATACCATTTCACAAAAAATTAATACCATTGCAGATTTAATCAATAGCAATGCGACAAAAATAAAATTATACCATTTCATAAAACAAAATAAATAAAACAGTACCAAAACAAAACTATAGCAAAGCAATTGAAAGAGTACCATTCCATTTGGGCTTTCTTCTTCTGATTATGACGTCGGCAGAGTAGCCTTTCCAGCCATCCCGAGAGGCCAACGGAGACGGAGAGAGAGAGAGAGACTACTTGGCCTCCAATTTGGACGATCTCAGCGGTGGGTACAATGGCCAGACACGGTGGGGACAACGGCGTAGCCCGTCAGGGAGAGGGAGGGAAGTGGGAGTCGAGAGAGAGGGGTTGGCCGATTTAGCGGTGGAGGCAAGGGCAGAGGCGACGGGAATGGCGGCGTAACCTGGCAGGGAGAGGGAGGGAGGTGGCACGCGAGAGAGATGGAGAATAGGCTTGTATTAGGGTTTTGATAAAATATATATAAATTAATTTTGTTAAGGATAGTAATCAGATGTGATATAATTTTTGTTTCCAAAACTATCCTTAATCTAATCTTGATCGTCAATTTTAAGATAAGATAAAATAAAGCTAGTGAAGGGTGTAGATTTTGGTAGCCACGGTGGCTACTAAACAAGTAGTAATCACCCTAACTCATCCCGCCCTTTCCCGGATGACCTCATGACACCCCCAATGACCGCCCCTGCTCTTATCTCCCTCTTCTTCGCTCATTCGTGTTGAATTTTTTTTTTCAACTTTAAAGGGGTCGTTTGGAAGTTGCGATTGTTAAATAAATGTATTGTTGAGAATGCATGTATAATATTATACATGTATTGTCGAATTTGATGCATTGTAGAATACAACATTTGGTATGTGTGATTGTGTATGTCGCATCAGCTAAAAGCTGAGACAAAACAATCTCAACTCAACTTTCTCAACAATCACAACTAAAAGTTGAGATATAACAATCACTCAAAATGAGTGACAGTTTCTGTCACATCACAGAAACAATCCATGTATTGTTTCTGCTAAAAAACAAAAAAATGATGCATTGTAAACAATACATGCATAATAACAATCTCAACAAAACAATCGCAACTTCCAAACGACCCCTTAGGTTACCTAAAAAAATTTGAATGATCCATCCATAAATAGTTGTCTAATTTGATATATTAAAAGATATTTGTTAAAACTATAAAACACAAAATCGTATTTCATAATTTCTTCATAATATCAAAAGGACACGTAGGTTTAAGTCCAGGGTGAGATTTATTAGATAACAACGTCGGCTCCACTCCACCCGCGCCACGCCAACGACAGAAATCATGGTTACCAATTCTCCCAGCCTGCCTCTCTCTCTCTCATGGCCACCCTCTTCCCGAAAAGCACAATTCCTTCATTTCCCACAAAATACTAACGATAATGATAATTAATCTCCGTCAATGAATTCGTTTTCACGCAGCCAAATCCAACCAAAATAGCGTTTTACAGATAACGACGATACGGCAATCAAACCCAAGAAGAAGAAGAAGAAGCAAAGTTCTATTAATTTCCATCTCTCTGATCCTCCCAACTGAATCGTACGGTGAAAACAGCCCTTTCCCTTTCCCTTTCCCTTTCCCTTCCTCATCGTCATTGTCGTCCTTGAGAAGCGTGCCGTCTTGCTTTGCTTGACCCACCACCGAAAAACAGAAAGAGGGAAAAGAAAATTTCCGTCTTTGAGCGATCTCCCCTGCATTGGAGCCAAACAGAGCCTTAATTCTTTGAGCTGCTGACGAGAGAGAGGAGAGGAAACATGGAGGAAGCAAGAGGGGTGACGAGTGCTGCCCAGCGTCGCATGAGGGCTATTCGCGATCACCTCACCGGAGATTCTACCTCGTCGACGACTCAGCTGGTTCAGAGTCCCACCGCCGGCGAGTTTTTCTCAGGTATTAAGGCATAATTGTTGGTTGTCATTTCTGGGTTTGTTGAGGAGAGGAGCATTCGTTTTTCACCTTCCCCGTAATCTGCTGAAAATGAGCCATCTTTTCTTCCACTTGCTGTTGCTGGGCTTTCTCTTATCCAATTCCCAGATGGGTCCCTTCAAAAATCATTTATTGCTTGAATCGTACCACTGGTTTTGTTGATCTCCTGTCCACTGACAAAAAAAAAGAGAAGATTTTCATAGCAAAAATGGATTGCCTTTGAGAAATCAATTCCCCCTCTTTGTTTTTTTTTACTATTGGGTTGCTTGTTAATCACCTTGGCGATGTGCTTGTGCCTGATGATGATCTCGTTTCACGTTTATTGGAAACAATGGTGGTTCCATTGTGAGCAGAGCAGGGTTACAGTGCAGTCCTTCCAGAGAAACTGCAGACTGGCAAGTGGAATGTTTACAGGTAAACTCATGGTCTTGTGTACTTGTGAACTGCCTTCGTATGTTAGTCTTGAATCCAGTTAATGTTCTGTTCGTGGCAGATCTGCAAGGTCTCCTTTGAAGCTTGTATCTAGATTCCCTGATCACCCCGAAATCGGCACATTGCATGATAACTTTGTGTAAGAAATACCATTTTTTTACTGGTTTTCATCATAGACTAGTTGCGTAACTTCTTGATGGAAGTCATATGAAACAAACAACGATTGAAGCAAATTCATGACACTGTAGGCACGCTGTCGATACATTTCGAGACTACAAGTACCTTGGGACGCGAATTCGAGTCGATGGAACTGTCGGAGAGTAAGCAAACTCTATCCAATATTAGTGAGAGCTTGTTACTTATATCTTTAGAAAGGGAAATACTAATCGATTTTATATCGGTTTCGGCAGGTACAAATGGATGACATTTGGAGAAGCAGGCACCGCAAGAACAGCTATAGGGTCCGGCCTAATGTATCATGGAATCGAGAAGGTGGAATTTTGTGTTTGGTGAAATGCAAAATCATCATCCTTGTGTTGTTTTGTTAGCTTTCATATTGTAATGCTTTTGTTTCAACATCTTTGTGATAGGGTGCTCGTGTCGGATTGTACTTTATCAACAGACCAGAATGGCTTATTGTTGACCATGCCTGCTCTGCATACTCTTATGTATCAGTTCCACTATACGACACTCTTGGTTCGTTATACTTGAACATATAACTTTATCACGATGAAATTGACTGCTGTAGCCTTTTGGATGGTGAAATGAATTCATTACTCTCTCTCTCTTTCTCTCTTTCAGGTCCGGATGCTGTCAAGTACATTGTAAATCATGCTGTTGTACAAGCCATTTTCTGTGTGCCTGAAACCCTGAATTCTGTGAGTGTTTTTCGTTTTTTTTTTTTTTGCACACTAGAAATTTTCTGCTCACAAATGCTTAATGATCACTTGGAGCTTGCAGTTGCTGAGCTTTCTGTCAGAGATTCCATCTGTTCGGGTTATTGTGGTAAGATTTTCTTGCATATACGGCTGGGATCAGAAGATAACTCTGACCGGTTTTTGCCATTAAATGTGTGAACTTGTTTTTCCTATTGAGCAGGTTGTTGGGGGGATCGACGATCAAATGCCATCTCTTCCATCATCAACTGGCGTTCAGGTTGTAACCTATTCAAAGCTGCTCACCCAGGTATTAAATTTATCTTTCTCTATCCTATTTCTCCTCGAAATATGAGCTTCATTCTAAGTGTAATCACTGATTCAATCTGCATACATTATTTCTACCCTATTATGCGTTGAATTGTTCCATTGAGCTTTGTGATAGCAAAAACTTCTTTCTCCTGTAATGGGTGCCTTCTAGGGTCGCAGTAATCTTCACCCTTTTTGCCCACCAAAACCAGAAGATACTGCTACAATCTGCTACACAAGTGGCACCACCGGGACACCGAAGGTAATATTAGATTTCTCATCCATTTAAGTTTTCATGCCAACTAGAAAGGATGTATAAGATGCCAGTTAAGTCTTATTAATTATTGGGAATCTTGATGATGACTTGCAAGGGGGCTGTACTGAGCCATGAGAATCTGATTGCTAATGTGGCTGGGGCCACATTAACCACTAAGTTCTACCCATCAGATGTGTGAGTACTTTTTTTTTATCCTGCAATACATTCTTTTGCACCCATTGTTTCCCCTTGTGTAATAAATTACCTCATTCGCCGAACCGACCTTTTTATCAACAGTTACATATCATATCTACCTTTGGCACACATTTACGAGCGGGCGAATCAGGTCATGACGGCGTATTTCGGAGTAGCTGTTGGATTCTACCAGGGGGTAGGTGTCTGAATTGAACATTTTGCTTCTCAATTCAGACTTTGGACTTGAATATGTAAAGTGACTACATTGTAAACCAATGTTTGCACTTTGCAGGATAACTTGAAACTGATGGATGATCTGGCTGCACTTAGACCTACTATATTCTGCAGCGTCCCTCGGCTCTACAATAGAATATATGCCGGGTGAAGTTTACTGTTCCTTACAAGTGGACTTTTTTGCTTACTTCGTCATGCCTTTATTGACTCTCAAGTATTTTGATTTTTCAGTATTACTAACACTGTGAAGAGTTCTGGCGGACTAAGGGAGAGGCTATTCAATGCTGCATACAATGCCAAAAAGCAGGCCTTACAGAACGGTAGATGAATGAAGAACATTATTGGCAAACAATAGCTTCATGCGAAGGTTTCTTTTCACGGATTCTAACATTATGCTCTTAGCATGGCAGGAAAAAATGCATCTCCAATGTGGGACAGATTGGTGTTCAACAAGATCCGTGAGAAACTTGGGGGACGAGTTCGGTATGTTGTCTCAGGAGCTTCACCATTATCTCCTGATGTCTTGGAGTTCATGAAGATGTAAGTTTCGGTTGGTTGTAGTAATTGGGGAATCAGTTTCTGTTTTATCGATGGATGTCTGTGAATTATTGTCTATGAATTTGCAGCTGCTTTGGTGGAGAAGTTATCGAAGGGTATGGAATGACAGAAACTTCATGTGTCATTACTGTCATGGATTTAGGTGACAACCAAGTGGGCCACGTCGGCTCTCCTAATCCAGCTTGTGGTGAGATGTTTAAGCACTGCCGATTTAATTATCTGTGTGATACTTGTTTAAATACAAAACAATAATTTTTTTCTTGTTTCTTCTGTTTTGCAGAAGTGAAGCTTGAGGATGTTCCAGAAATGAACTACACTTCTCAGGATCAGCCCTATCCACGCGGCGAAATATGTGTGAGGGGTCCCATCGTCTTCCAGGGCTATTATAAAGACGAAACTCAAACGTGAATTTGCCCGTTCAAGTCAACCCCTCTTTACTTTTGGTTCTAGCTTTTGACTCTTTACTGATTAGTAATTTGGTGAATGTTGTTCAGGAGAGAAGTGATCGATGGAGAAGGTTGGCTACACACTGGAGATATTGGATTATGGCTACCAGGAGGACGTCTGAAGATCATTGACAGGTGATAACCTGAAACTTGAACTGCAAGCAATTTGTTTTAGTCGAATTTTATGATACGCTTGACAACTCTGAGAACAAATGAATAAACAAATACCGGTATTGATTGGTACAGAAAGAAGAACATTTTCAAGCTAGCCCAAGGAGAGTACATTGCTCCCGAGAAGATAGAGAATGTGTATGCCAAGTGCAGATTTGTTGCTCAATGCTTCATCTATGGTGATAGTTTCAACTCTTCTTTGGTAGCTGTTGTTGCTGTTGACCCAGATGTGTTGAGAGATTGGGCTGCCTCTCAGGGACTCAAGGTTAGACTTCAAATAGGTTTCTCCTCCAAATTCCCATTTAGCAAAGACTGATTCTTTGGTATCAATTTCAGCACAACGATTTGGAGCAACTATGCAATGATCCAAGAACAAAAGCAACTGTATTAGCGGAGATGGATGCTATTGGTAGAGAAGCTCAGGTAATTGGAAGTTCCAACATGAACGCCATCAACTGGTGCCAATAAGCCTTTTTTCTTTCCAACTCTTAATTCAATTTCCACTCCATTCTTCATGGTTGCAGCTACGAGGGTTTGAGTTCGCGAAAGCTGTGACGTTGGTGGCAGAACCGTTTACATTAGAGAATGGACTGCTCACACCAACTTTTAAGGTGAGTGTTTTAAGCTCTGTATACTGCTCAAGAACGGTGAAAGATTGAAACTTTATGATGATGACGAATACCACCTTTTGTATGTTTTCCAGATAAAGAGAGCTCAAGCGAAGGCATACTTCCAGAGTGCGATAACAGAAATGTACAAAGAGCTTGCTGCATCTGAAACGCCTGCTAAGTCAGCATTATGACACTACGCAGAATCGAAATCAAGAATTATATGACCGATTCTCATGGATCGAAATGTTCATCGCCTGAGCCTTCTTTGAAACTACAGAAGTGAAATCCATTGGCATATTACTTTGTGCTTGGTCCTCTGGCTATGGCCTGAGAATATTAGTGTCCATTACTTGTTTATTATTGACAGATCTCATTAGAAGCTATACAGTATACATACTGTAAATTGAGGGAAAATTGAATGATGGGCGGGTAGGATGGATGGATGAATGGTTGGTTGGTTGAAGCGTGCTAAACTTTCACTTCTGGTGGTGAGGGGCTGTTCTCCGCTGCCTTTCCTAGGCCATCAGTTCAGTTTTTCCCTGTCATATTTTCAATTTCAACTGTCTCATACTGGCCTTTGTTTGTGCTTCTGCATCGAAAAGTTCGTGGTCTGAATCTTTATGGAACGATAGAAGTGAAATCAATTGATATACAACTTTATCCTTGATCATCTGGTTCTTTTTTCTTCATATAGAGATTACAAGAAGGAAAATATTTATAAGTCACCCAACAAAATTTCTAGTAATTTTGGAATCACTCGCAATCGTCGACAAAGAGTCTAACTGTCGATGCAAAGCTTGTTTTGGCACTAAATCAACAGTTAATATATATAAAGTTTAAGCAGGGTTACTATTGCCTAACTTCCCATAGAGCTTTGCTAAAGTACACTATTGTAATTTGTTTTAGTAACCTATAAGCTAATGGAAACAAACCTAATATAAAACTTTATAGACCAACCAGGCAACTACTGCTCCCTAATAACAATCCTGTTGTAGTTGTTCCTATCTTACACCACCTTTTTGCACTCCCATTACCTAGTCATCCAATGTTTTTTAGAGAATAAAAATTTAGTTTTCAGCCGATTTTATTGCATGTATTTAAGTTCCTATTTTTAGATGTAGTTTTTCCTATTTTATCTTTATGCACTTGCCTTATCTTGGTCATCACATATTTTTCACTTACTTTATCTCTGTCATCCAAAATTTTTCTCTATCTGTTTCTCGATTTGAGAATCAAGATTGATTCATGTGTCATCTTTGTGGCAACATATCGGTGGGTTTTTTTTTTTGCCAATACTGTTTCCTCTTCTATTTGAACATGAGAATATTCATCTTCATTGTGTTGTTTTATGAATTTTCCTAACACTCTCCTCAATTTAAAAATCACGATGGTTCCCTATTGTTTCATTATATCCCTACGTGCTTCTTGATTTGAGAAAGATGATAGTTCATAAACTCATTAATTAATTTCTACTCGCGTTGCTCGATCGTCACAGTTTTCTTTAACAAAACAAATATTTTAAACCCGTTATTTCATGTACTTTTTCAAACAAACTTCTCCTCTTAAAAAAAAACCCATGGACCTTGACCAAGGAGTCGCTATATTCACATCATCATTGTAAAATTTTCACCATTCAATGAATGTCTATTGCCCGAGGGAATTTTTTTTATCTTTACAATTTTTTTTATTTGTTATAACCTGACATGGTTCTCGATTCAGAAACGTTGATGAGCCCCATACAAAATAAATATCTCTCTTTTTTATGTTATATTGTGATTTTCCCAACTAACTATTTTGACAACCTATCAATTTGCTAAATCACACAAACCTACATGTAATCTAAAGATCTAGCACAATAAATTAGTAAACTGGATCCATAAGAGATGAGGTACAAATTTTCTACAGCCACCCGGGGCATGGCGCGGCTCCCCGGTCTAGTTATTGTATATATTGAGAGATAAACTGACACAACAAAAATGAAAAAGAAAGCATAAGAAGAGCAAACGTTCTTCAGTAGAGTTTCTTCCCAAAGAATGAGGTGTCCAGACGTTCCTCACAACAAGAATCCAATTTCCCCTATGCACTGAATCTTCTACTTCCTCTATGCACTTTGTAAGTAGTGCTTTTTGTTTCTCATTCCACTTAAACTCGACAAGTGATCAGTCTATGCCACTTTTGGGAGAGGAGAATTGTTCAGCTTGTGAGATGGAATGAATCATCATATGAGTCTTTTTCTTTGCACCAGTAAGCCAAACCCTTCATACTTGGTCATCTTGTCTCCCTTATAACTATGAAATCCATTGATAAGAACTACAGTAGCATCTCCACTCGGATATGTCTCTTTGTAGTAGATTATTAAAACCTGATACCTATAAAGTTCTCATCTTAATAAGGAGATTATTCATCTCAAACAATCCTTCAATGATAAGTGAATCTATCTATAACTTAAACAAACTGATGTTTACCTTCCTTAAGAGTAACAAAACCACAAAGAGAAAACATGTAATCCAAAGAACACCAGGATCTTTTACACTCATGGGACAAGAATTCTTACTCTCAAATCTCAATATATATGTTAAAAGCAACATGAAAGGATTCTTCCTTATCATCAATCATAATGAAATCTTCAGCTTCAACACTACTCCACACAGTTGTGATAATTATGTGGTTATATTGTAGTGCTTGAATCCGAGAGAATATTTATAGTTTAAGAAGAAAGGAACATGAAAGAAATTAGGGGTCAAACCCTCGAACTTTGACAACAAAGGGTAACTTACTAACAACGGAATGGTCAAAGCTTGTCTCAGATATATATAATCAACCAAAAGACTCAATATAAAAAGATCTGCAATAGGTGAAACTAGAAAAGGGTAGGCCAGAAAAGAAAAAAACGTGAAATTAAGAAGAATCATTTTAGAGATATGGAGTTGTCCCTCAGCAAGACAGGTCACTATCATAGGTCCAAGACACTTCTCCATGTATGGATATAGAGAAAGTTGGACAAGAAGAAGACCTATACGTACACAGTATAAAAATTTGGTGGATGATGTTAGTTAATCTTAATTTGCTTAATGTTGTTTAGTTTGATCATATGATATGTGAGTTACCTTAGACAAAGAGAACTTCCCCCCACATCTGTCGTTGAGTACCTGAGACCACCTAATTTTCCGGGGCTGACAGCGCATAATGAAAATATCTGCGTAGAATTATCAATGTATCCATCATAGTAAGTTATTATAAACAAAATATCAATGCATCCAACGAGTAAGATCACAGACGTCACTGATCTTTCTAGCATGAAAGAGAAACCTTAAAAAATATCAATGTATTGAGTGAGTTTTAAGATCGTCTTGAGGCATCGGGAGCTCAAGTATAAAGGTTATAAGCAAGCACATAAGTTATATAAACAAAATCTTACCAACGTATCCAGCATAGTAACCTATATCTTCTTCATGTGTTGCCACATTGAAGTCCCTAACCTAAAATTCCGAAAACTACGTTCGTTAGCAATCTGTATTGAACATACTAGTTACATGCAACAGAACATAATCAAGAATAATATTCAACACATGCTTACCATGAAATATAGGTAAGGAAAAAGAGAACATATCGTCAGCGCTGCAAAAGTATAAACAACAATTCTTACTAAGAGCAAGACCTTTATAAACACTAACAACAAAGATAAAAGCGGCTAGCTTACTTGTGCACAAAACGTGGCACCATACAATAACGATTTCTTGAAGAGGCCAACATGGTTTCATAACACAAATGTAATTTATCAAAATTCATCAGGAAATTCAACTAGCAAACAATAGTATTTTTCAAATCAATAATGAACCAAATACATCATAAATCCAAGGTTTTCCAAAACACAAATATGTTAGATTTTAGAATGTTATATGTGTTATATAACATTAATTGTTAGATAAAATAAATTTATAATATATAACATAAAAATTATATAACACAAATTTATATATATATATATATATTACGTTAATAAGGTTGTTTTATGTTATATGTATTACCTTAATAAACTTATTGCATACTTATTAGAAATGGAGAAACAAACACACCCCATGAAAAATTATTTCAATGTACCTACATGAAAGATTGTTATGAGAAATGATAAGAGAATCAGATCTAACATAAAAATTATTAGATTTTAGAATGTTGTATGTGTTATATAACATAAATTGTTAGATACAAAATTTTTGTAATATGTAACATAAAAATTATCTAACAAAAAATTTATTTATTTATGTATATATATTATGTTAATAAGGTTGTTTTATGTTATATGTATTACCATAATAAGCTTATTGCATACTTATTAGAAATGGAGAAACAAACACACCCCATGAGAAAATTATGTCAATATACCTACATGAAAGATTGTTATGAGAAATTCAACGGAAAAAAGATTGTTATGAGAAATGATAAGAGAGTGAAATCTAACTTGTAATATGATGATTTTTTTATTTAAATATAAATTTTTACTCTATTAAGTGTCATAATGTAAACAATATCATGATATTGCTCTCATACAAACATGATACGTAACACTTTTTACATGCACAAAATTGGCACAGTAAGTAACCTACACAATGGTGCAAACATGTGACATGAATACGAGAGCACAACCCGAATACTACTTTTTGGGACCTTGTAACCATTGAGGCTCTTCATACTTGCTCCCCCCCTTCCCCCCCCAAAAAAATTAAAGGTCAAATTACAAATAAGAAAGCACAACCCGAAGAATAGTGACAGGCTAACGAGGTGGGAGCATATCATTGCTCCAACTTATTTAATGCTAAAATCGAAGAAAACTATGTAAAAGAGCATACGATTAAATTAATAAATTATCATTTGCTACACGCAGAACAATGATTTACGATTACTCATGTGGGCTCATTAAGTTCCCAACACTTAAAGATTGTTTTCACTTGTTTATTGCTCTCATAATCTCAATATATACATTTAAGGAACATAAAAGAAATCTTCCTTATGAGGAAACATAATAAAACCTTCCGTTTACTTCGCACAATTGTGATCATTATATGGTTACAATATTGTAGTGTTTTGAGGAAAATATGTACTCATCATTTGACATATATGTTATATTTTAGATTGTTATATAACATAAATTGTAAATAAAATAAATTGTATATAAAATAAATTTTTTATATATAGTATAAATTTATTATACTTAACATATATTTGCCATATATAAAATGTTAAGAGTTGTAATGCAAAAAATATCAATGTATAGCTCTCGATCTATTGCAGTTCCAAATGTAGGTCCAACAGGTAGTTGTCCTCCGTCACGTTAATCACGTACCACACCTTGCTGGTACCCACTTTTGCCTTCTTAGTCACCTGACCCTCGAGCAATCTGGCGTTGGTCTAAAGATGCATCGGCTCACCTACTGTGCTGGTGTACTCATACAAAGCAATGTACCGTGACCTCACCATAGTGGATAACTTCTAGGGTACATGATAAGATTCTCGTGAATCGATGACGAGTCGGGTTCTGGTTCTCCTCTATGAATGATGAACTTCATCACCATTGTCATTTGCATCATTCACGGGATCCCCCAATGGTAAGGATACAGTGCGTCATTTACTAGAATGATTCAGTCCTCGTTTGAGGTTGAGAAGTCAACCACGGAGTCGATAATCTCTAACAGAGTCAATAAGGTGTGGATTGCCACCACACGCTTCTCGAAATAAGTTGAGTCAACTGCCATGGGTTAATCTGAGCCCGTTCTTGAAGAACAGCTTGAAGAATCTAGTGTTGCTGGCATTGATGATCGTTAAGCGGTATTTCCAACGTCATACCAACATATGTGGGCACACCTTTCCGTTGACAATGATCATCTTGTCGAAATACTCTGGCTATCACTATGGGTGAATTTTGGTGTTGTTCCCAGTGGAGTTCATGTAAATGGAACCATTGGTGAGGAAGCTCTGATTGAATATAACCAGTCGCCGATGGAGCTCATTGTCGGAGACTGTGCTCAATTTCTGGGTCCAAATTTAGCCTCCGACAAATTCGTCTAGTATGTTTATGTGTGCCAACCCTATGGTGTGGTCGTTGTACCAAAGGCTCCCTGAATGTTCAACAAGTGGGTGTTGAACATTTTTTCGAAGATTACAAAATTATTTTGTTCCATATTTGAACCACCACACTAAACAGATCTCCTACTAAGATTGAAAATGTTCATATTCTTTTCTTGGATTTGATGTTTGATTGATCTTCCCATTTGTTCTTGGTGATACATATGGACTCGTAACGTTAAGCTCTATAAATGTACATGTATGTTGTGATGGTAATGTATCACTATCAACACATCATGACATTTTCAACTTCGCTCTACTCCACACAAATTATGGTCATTATGTGGATATACCATAGTGCTTGCATTCCGAGGGAAAATGATATAATCCTCCAATAATATATAGTAGAGTTTGGTGTACTTTTTTCCATTTTAAATTTCCTGCAACGAGAGTTAAAGTAGGATGGACATTTTAGTCTTTACAATTCTTTATTAATTCATATAAAAAGATATTGATAACGGGATTTGAACCAGGATCTCTTCAAACAAAAACAACGAGTATAATCAATTACCCTAAACAAATTTGGTGTAGTTTTTTTTAATACAAACCATAGACGAAGTTAAACTCTGAAGACTAGATGACTCTTCCATCATGATTAGCTAGCCCACTAAGTCTCCTGTAAGTATATTTATAGTGCTTGATACATTGATTTTCACAGTAGAGTTTCATGTAATTTTCTCCATTTTAAAATTTCTACTCTCTTCTTAATTTTTGCTAAGGGTCAATTGGTAATTGGCCAACATGGAAGAAACTATTTCTTTTCATATTTGTTGTGTCCTTGCATTTTTCTTAGTTTAAAATATTTGTTTGCTTTTTTTTTCTCTTTGCTTTTATCCCTTCCTAAGATCCTTTGAAATTCCCTCCATAGTGCAATAGTTTGCTCCCTTTCACTTCCCACTACAAAGTCGCCTATGAAAATCAATCTTCTAGTATCTCTTAGAAAGTTTGGTTATTGGGGATTGAAGCTTGGAGTAGAAGATTTCAACTCTGATATAAGCCCATGGCTAATAGAATAGAGTTCAATCAAGTTTAGGGTCTCGCCTATATCACTCAATCCCTCCGCACCAGCATCGCCCGATGGTTTTATATCTCTCATATATTGATGAACTACTAGAAGACCTATTTTGTTGCTTCTATTGCTGAAGATGATGTTTGATCAATTATATCTTCCTCCATTACTCCTCTTCCTATACCGGACTTTGAACTTCAATAGGTTTTGGTCTTCGTCCACGGTTAATCGCTTCACATATGTAAGTCATTCATTTCTTCTCTTTGACTCATAGTTCTATCTTTCTGATTAATAACAAAACGACTTTTATTTTCAGGTTATCCCATGAGCAGAATATGCAGAAGATCTATTTCTTTTGATCCTATAGCCTAATACGATGTTTGAAGCCCGGTGGATCCCTTACGTCGTTGCTCTTCTTTATGCTCTTAGGTTTCAACTTCAATGAGTTTTCTATCTTCATAAAAGGTTCATTGAGTTGAACTCCTAGCCTATTATGGCCTCCTCAATTTATCTAAGTTGTTTGTAATTTATTTATAAAATATAGGATGACCGGTGGTTTGAGTGCTTGATTTGTTTGAAATCAAATAGATGTTTCTATAGAACATGAGCAATTGTACTTTCCTAGCGCCCTATATACTTTCTTGGTTGTTTGTTTGCTGTATTTTTTGTTTGTTCTTTGATTAGCTATTGAATTAACAAAATAAGATCACCATTTTAAAAAAGTTTCTTTTCAATTACAATATTTTTGCTCAGGCTTTATTTTTCATGGCTAATTTTCTCCGCAACATATTTTTCTTCATCAATGATGATTCTTATGGCACAACTCACCGATCAAATTTTGATATTGTTTTAGGATTAGTTAGACATTATTGATTTTGTCGATATTTTTATTGTGCATCAATATAATTGTAAACCATAATGATTGCTAAAATTGAGCCTCCACGCAATAATACTCTGAGAAGTGGGGTGTAGAACTATGAGTAGAAGAGTTGGGATTGGGTTTGGGAAGGAAAGTGGTGGGGGAAGAAATTGTGTTTGGATTTGATAGCATGTAAAGATCAACTACATCATGCTAAGGTAGAGAAAAAGGAGTTGATGAGGGTAGTGATCGAATTGAGGAGGGTATTAAAAGACATGGAAGCAAAACTGGAGTAGTTGAAGAGAGAGAAGTGAGAGATGATGAGGATATTAATGAAAATGGAGAGGATATTGAAGGGCATGGAAGTGAACTGGATGAAGGGAAGACAGTCAATGATGAGATGAGCATATTGATGGAATTGGAGATGAGAGTTGGTTTTACCGAGCTTATTACAACTGCCCCTACGGAAGAAGAATTGGCCAAATACAAGAAGAGCATTGAGGAGTTGAAGAGCGAGTTGACAAGAACTCCAATTTGAAGAGAAATCGAGGGCCATAGAGAGGTCCATCAAAGTAGCAGAAATAGAGTTGTAGGAGGAGGATAAGAAAGTGAATTTTGGGTTGAAAAAAATGCCTCTTGAGATTGAATATAGATGGGATAAAAAGTTGGTTGTACAACGGAGAGTGGTGACTATTGGATCTTTAGCTTTATGGTTGTTGTAGCTACCACAACTTATGTTTATCTTAAAACGAGTAATCATTGATTTACTGAAATTAAGGTTGATTCTCTATTCAACCTACTGTAAGTCTAGAACTGGTAGATAAGGAGTGTCTAATTTTGTGCCTTATTACTTTGATCGAGTCTATTAGTATATTTGAGGTAACCCTAATTTTGACATTTGCTCTCAAGTTTTGATGATCCCCTTTTAGTTGAGTTGTTAGTATGTGGTTGACTTGAATCAACAAATCTCCATTTCTTATTTTATTAGTGACATGTTGTTTCTAAAAGGAAAATATTGAACCATTTATGGAGGATTGTGAGATTTTAATTTTAGTTTGCAATTATCTATGAGTCGTGTGGGAATTCCAGTAGCTAGACTATTATGCTCTATCTTTCATGACAATCAATTAACCAATAGTATTTTAATGGTGCTTAATTATCATTATGAAATGGGATTAATGATATATTTTTATATTTTTTATTCTTAAATGATGATGATATTTTTTCAAATGTTAGATCTATACATTCATTTTTTGTGTATCATCTCAATCGAAGAATTGTGAATAAAATTAAACGAATTGATAAAGTCAAACATAACATAATAATATAAATACTCAAATACAAACATTCCGGCCAAGGAATCGGGTTATAAGTTAGTTTAAGAAGAGAGGATATTGTAAGGAAAGGAATCAATTCTTAAACAAGTGGTGGGGAATGGGGACGACCATCACCATACATCTATTACATAAATTTCTTTTGCACGAGGTGCACAAACCCATTGATTCCTTGTCCAAATTCCTCTTCCCTACTGCTTTTCATTTTTTCGATAAGGATATAGTGACGGAAATTGATAGTCGAAGCAGTCTCGTAAGTATGTATCACAATTTCTCGCGTATGTAAGAGATCCATATTTCTTATTAATAAGAATTTATGAACACACACGTTTTATATATAGCATTTAATAAGAATACTAAGCTCCATGTATTATGCAAACTGGTTAATAATAGAACCATGAACATCGGTTTAATTAGGGGCCAAAAAAAGCAAACCAAAAAATGGGAAGCCATCAAAATTAATTATGTTTCTTCATTTTTCAAGGGTTCTTGTGGTGTTGAGTGTAGATGTAATCCAAGTGAGCCTCTATAGACTTACCGTGGAAAAGGATTCTTCTTTAAGTGAAGCAAAATGATCACCACTTCACCAGCCGCAGCCGCAGCAGCCTTTTGATTATCTTCCATGCTCACCAGCTCCGTCTCACCGCCATCACTACTTCCTTTGGTCTGTGATGAAGCTGTTGCGTCAAGGAGGAGACGAGCCGATGCAGAGTGGGAGAAGAAGGAAGAAGACAGCATCAAGAACGCAAAGAGGAGAAGGAAAGGCAGAGAAAGGGTATAATAATAATTTCTCTTCATTTTTCTGTTTTTGTAACTGTTTTGGTGAAGTGGGAAGAAGAGAAAGAGGAAGACAGTGGAAGTGGTAGCTTCGCTTTGGTATTGTTGCATATTGTTAGTAACGGAATAACAAAAGGAACGAGGTTACCGAATCTGGAGCTGAGTCGCGGACTAGGTTGCTCTCTTTAAGACGTTCGCGGCACTGCCTTCGATGCGCACGACAGACTATCAACCGGTCGTCTCCAGGATAAAACAGCTCCTCTCAATACTCGCGGTTTTGTGCGAAAACCGAAGCTCTCTAAACACTCTCTCTATTGTGTTTCTGCTCGTTGTGATGTGTTTACAAGGGCTGGGGATGCGGCTATTTATAGGAGCCGAACCCCTAGGAATATACCCTCTTGCTTGGGGAATAAGTCGGATTAATTAAGGAAGATAATTACTTCCTTAATTAAAACCGTCGGTTAAGATAAACCCGGAGGGATTATCCTTCGAATATTCCGTTTTAGTCGATTATCCTTAGAATATTCCTCAGAATAACCGATTAATAATTAATTATTATTAGATAATTAATTTCGTTCGGAATTTCTCCAAAAATATATATAGTCTCAAGTGAACCAACCGACCGACCGGCCGGTCGGACAGACGGCGCCCGCGCGCGTGTGTGTGGTGGTCCGTTAGGTCCTCCATCTCCCACAAAAGTGGGTCACCCCAAGGGGCATGCCCTTAGGAGAGAGGCTCCTATCTTTATACACATTTCACCAAGTAGCGACTCTATAGCTTTCAAAGCTATTCATATACATTTCCAACAATCCCCCACTTGAATAGTTTTGAAACTATCTCTGAGCATCAACAGTTCCATAAGATTGGGCATAAGCTAAGGTATCGCGAAGATTTGAACCTTAGCGTAGTGGTTACACTTCTGATTTCATAAGGGTGACTCGTAGTCTTGAACCCTATCTCAGACAGTGCAGCACACCGGATCTTTTCATTGAGTTGTGTTCTCTTCATAGCCCGTGCGTTTATGGCCATGCACGTTACCCTGGTTTAGTGAACGCTCTAGCAACTTTGTGCCTCCAAAGTTCCATAGGGAGCGGCCCCACTCCCACATTCACATAGGTGAGTCTATCAAGAGTACCCCCAAAGTAAAGTACTCCACCCCACATAGGGTATAGATCTCTAGGTAATCCTTTCGTCAAAGGATCTGCTAGATTCTGTTCGGATCTTATATGATCCACCCTCACTGCTCCTATCGTTAGGAGTTCTCTTACAGTACTGTGCTTACGACGAATCTGTCGTTTCTTTCCGTTATAGAACCGGTTCTCAACTTTAGCGATAGCTACGGTACTATCACAATGGATCAATACCGGAGGGACCGGCCATTCCCATAGGGGAATCTCTGAAAACAATCCTCTCAACCAACTTGCTTCTTCACTAGCCGTTGCTAATGCTATCATCTCTGATTCCATAGTTTATTGAGCTAGGATTGTTTGTTTCTTTGACTTCCAAGACACAGCTCCACCAGCGATGTTGAAAACATACCCGCTGGTTGCCTTGGAGTCATCTGATAGGGTATTCCAATCCGCATCACTATACCCTTCTAGCACAGCAGGAAACCTTTGATAGTGTATACCAAGGTTTGCTGTTCTCTTGAGGTATCTCATGACCCTCTCTATAGCATTCCAATGCTCTCTACTAGGACAGCTGTTAAACCTGCCAAGCAATCCCACGACATATGCAATGTCTGGTCGAGTGTAATCCGCAGCATAACGGAGACTACCAATGATGCTAGCATATTCTGATTGTCTTACACTGTCTCCAGTGTTCTTAAATAGCTTTACACTAGCATCATACGGAGTACACGCAGGTTTACAGTCGAAATAGTTATATTTCTTCAAGATCTTCTCTATGTAGCTATATTGATCTGGAGAATAACCATTTGCTGTTCTAGTTATCTAGATTCCAAGCATAAACTTTGCTTCTCCCAGATCTTTCACTTCAAAGCTCTCTTTCAACATGGCTTTTGCTTCATTGACCACGTGAATATTTGTACCAAATATCAACATGTCATCTACATACAAACATATGATAGTACAAGTGTTATTTTCTGACTTGCAGTAAATACACTTGTCACTTTCATTCACCTTAAAGCCATGTGAGAGAACGAGAGTGTCAAACTTCTCATGCCACTGTTTTGGAGCCTGTTTCAAACCATATAATGATTTGTCTAACTTACAGACTTTCGAGGCATGTTCGGGGATAACAAACCCTTCTGGTTGTTCCATATAGATTTCTTCATCCAGATCACCGTTCAAAAAAGCGGTCTTAACATCCATTTGGTGTACCACGAGATTGTTCAAGGCAGCAAGAGCAATCATTACACGAATGGATGTTATTCTAGATACTGGTGAATAGGTATCGAAGAAATCTATATTCTCTCTCTGCCTGTAGCCCTTAACTACTAGGCGAGCTCGGAACCTTTCGATTGCACCATCAGGTTTTCGTTTCGTTTTTAGAACCCATTTATTACCTAAGACTTTGCAGCCAGGAGGTAAGTCTGTTAGATGCCAAGTCTTATTAGCTTCTAACGATTCCATTTCATCTATAACGGCCTCATTCCAAAAATCTGCATCTACGGAAGTTAATGCTTCCTGCAAACTTTTTGGATCTTCGAGGGTGAATACTGTAGTAAAGTCATCACCAAAATCTTTAGAGATTCTAGCTCTTATACTTCTTCTGAGTTCATCCTCAGAACCAACACCCCCACTAGTTCCGTTATCTCTAATAGCGGGTAGTACATTACCCCCACTATTTCTCGTTTTAAATGGAAATCGTGTCTCAAAGAAATCAGCATCAATGGATTCTATTATAGTACGAGCATTCAAATCATAGAATCTATATGCCTTACTATTGGCCGCATAGCCAACGAAGACACATTCATATGCTCGACTAGCCAATTTAATCCTCTTAGGATCCGGAATTCTTACGTAGGCCAAACAACCCCACGTTCTTAAATAGGACAGATTAGGTGGCTTATTCTTCAAGATCTCATAGGGTGATTCTTTTCTATTTGTTTTTGGAAGACGGTTTAGCACATAGCAAACTGTCAACAAAATATCACCCCACCAAGAAGAAGCATCTCCAGAATTGAGCATAATAGCCACAACTAATTCTGTAAACGTCCTATTTTTCCGCTCAGCTTTACCATTCATTTCTGGTGAATATGGTGTCGTGGTTTCATGAATGATACCATGTGAGCTATAGAATTCCTTGAAGGGATTAGAGTCATACTCTGATCCTCTATCACTCCTAAGTATTTTTATCTTTCGATTGCACTGATTTTCAAATTCAACCACAAATACCTTGAACATATCAAGGGCTTCACTTTTGTTTTTCATCAAATAAACAAAGCAATAATCAGAGCAATCATCTATGAAAGTGATAAAGTATCTCTTGCCAGACCTAGTTAACGTCCCATCTAGTTCACAAATATCAGAATGAATCAAATCTAAGGGTTCTGACTCTCTACTCACAGATTTATGGGGCGTTTTCGTTATTTTAGCTTGGCTACAGAAATCACATTTATCAAATTCATTCATTGAGAGTTTAGGGATATGTCCTAGCTTGCTTAAATTCTTCACAATTCGTGTGTTCACATGACAAAGACGAGCATGCCAAACATTCAAATCACACACCATGTAAATTGAAGAATTCATCTTATTAATTTCGACATTCAACTTGAACATCCCATTACATGCATATCCCTTTCCCACAAAACTCCCATTCTTAGTAAGGGTATACAAGTATGCCCCAATAGTTTGATTAAACCCAGCCTTATTAAGAAGATATCCCGAAACAAGATTCTTCCTTATCTCTGGAGTGTGCAACACATCCTTGAGCACCATCTTCTTCCCAGAGGTGAAGTTCAGCTCCACTTCACAAGAACCAGCAACCATAGTGGTGTGAGTAGTCCCCAACAACACTTTCTTGTCAGCAGGTGCTTCTGTGTAAGTTTTAAACATAGCACGATTGTTGCATACATGCTTCGATGCACCTGTATCCAACCACCATCCTTCTGAGTCACCAGTGAGGTTAACTTCAGCGATCATATCTGTGATCATGGCTATCAAATTCTCTTCTATCAAGTTAACCCTGGCCGCAGCGGCAAGGTTTTGCTTGTTCCGGCACTTTTTTGCCATATGACCCGGTTTTCCACAGTTATAGCAGATAAACGGTGGGTCATTCTTAGAGGTTTGGGTCATGACCCTTTGGTTACCTCGAGAGGCACCATTCTGGTGGGGGCGGACCTGCTGGTTCTTACTCTTAAACCCTTTCTGGTTAGGTTTAAGAGCTCTAGGGGTGGGTCGTTTAGCAGTGACGACCATCACCTCTTCTTTCATATCCTGCTTGCGGGACTCTTCCTCAATCATTAGGCGAGTAATCAAGCTTTCCAGTGAAAATTCTTTGGTTTTGTGCCTAAGCATATTCTTAAAATCTTTCCACGAAGGGGGCAGCTTATCAATAATGCAAGCAACTTGAAATTGATCGTCCAGAGGCATACCTTCAGAGACGATCTCATGAGCTATTTTCTGAAGTTCGTGGGACTGAACTTCGACGGACTTGTCATCCACCATCTGGTAGCGCAGGTAGCGGCTGACAGCATACTTCTTAGCTCCAGCCTCCTCTGTGTCGTACTTCTTTTGGAACGCATCCCAGATCATCATCGCGGTGTTCTTACTGTCTGCATAGTAGTCGTAGAGATCGTCTGCCAGGCCGTTGAGGATGTAGTTCTTGCACAGGAAGTCATGCTCCCTTTCTTTGGCAGCAGCAGCCCTCTCCTCATCGGTCGCTTCTTCCGGCAGCTCGACGGGCATGCTGGTGAGGCAGTGGGCCAACTTTTTGGTCGTCAGGTAGAACTCCATCTTTTGCCTCCAGCGACGGAAGTTGACCCCAACGAAGCGAAAGGGTCGATTGATATCGACAGCACCAGATCCGGGCATGTTGTTCTGTTCAGTCGACATAGCAGCAGCCGAACGTCTTAAAATTGTTAGTAACGGAACAACAAAAGGAACGAGGTTACCGAATCTGGAGCTGAGTCGCGGACTAGGTCGCTCTCTTTAAGACGTTCGCGGCACTGCCTTCGATGCGCACGGCAGACTATCAACCGGTCGTCTCCAGGATAAAACAGCTCCTCTCAATACTCGCGGTTTTGTGCGAAAACCGAAGCTCTCTAAACACTCTCTCTATTGTGTTTCTGCTCGTTGTGATGTGTTTAGAGGGGGCTGGGGAGGCGGCTATTTATAGGAGTCGAACCCCTGGGAATATACCCTCTTGCTTGGGGAAT